GTGAGATTTTTTTTTTTCGTGTGTGTGTGTGTGTATTTTCGAGGCAGGGACTATTTCTTAATACCCACCACTACCATCAGCACTACTACCGGGACTACAAGTAATAAATAAATCGACCGTGGCTTTGGGGTGGGGTGGGGTGGGGTGGGGTGGGGTGGGGTCCTCCTACACACAAGAGAGGTAGCAGTGTTAGTATTGATAGCCATGATAGTGAAGACGAAGATGATAATAATAATGATAGTCACCTTCGTCACCACCATCATTACCATCATCGTCACCACCACCACCACCACCACCACTATCGTCATCATCATCGTCGGCGTCCCCAGCAGGAGCAGCCGCCGCCAGTGAAGGTCTTTTGTCCCGGGAGTAACTTAAAGCCCTGCTATATCGCCAGACAGAAAACGCCGCTGAAATTTGATCTGCCCATCGGTGATATTTGTGGGTTAACAAATCACCCGAGTATTCAATGGGTGTATTGAAGATAGACATAGACAAGGTGTGGTGGGTGTGGGTGGAGGGTGGGGTGGTGGAGAGGGGTTGATGGGGAGGAAGGAAGGTAGAGAGAGAGAAGAGATGGGAGGGAAGAGGAGGAGGAGGGAGAGGAGGGGAGGGGAGTAGAGGGGTAGAAAAGATGGAGAGAGAGGTTGAAGGGGAAGAAAGAAGACAAAGAGAGAGAGATAAAGAGAGAGACAGAGACAGAGAGAGAATAATAAGAGGAGGAGGGAAAGAAAGCATGGAAGGGCAGAAGGGAGAGGAGGGAGGAGAGGGGAGAGAGCAGAGAGGAGAAAAGGGGGGGAGAGGAGAAAGATGAAATGTGGGAAAATGGGATAAATAAACCTTATGTCATGGGGGAGATAAGGACCACTATGCTATACTTAACGTGATCTATCCTCCCCTCTCCCCCTCACCCACCTCACTCCCCCCCTCCTCTCTCAGCTATTCAATCAGGATTATCACGACTATTCTCCCTCAATATATAAATAAATTCTTTCTCACTTTCTTTCTCTCTTCCCTCGTTCGTTACAGCTATCTTTCCACTTCATATTTTACCTCGCTTTTCCTTCCTTATTTATTGTTGTTGTTTTTTCTCTTCTTTTTCATAACAACGATGTGTTTAAAGGTTAGGTTAGGTTAGGTTAGGTTAGGTTAGGTAAGGTTAGGTTAGGTTAGGAACTAAGGGGGAGGAGGGGTGAGGAACTGGGGGGGGAGAGAGGAGGGGTGAGGCACTGGGGGGGGAGAGAGGAGGGGTGAGGAACTCTGAGTTATCGTGGCTGTTCTCGTAGTCTACTCCCAGGTGAAGGTTTACACAGGTGTAGTTTGGGTGTCGTCATGGCAACGCCCCTCCCCCCTCCCCCCTCTCCTCTGTGTTTACCCGCCAATCATTGATATATACTGGCCACTTAGAGAGAGATTAGTCAACTCGCCATTCACAGAGCTTGATTTATTGAACACTCAGGGAGCTTAACCTACTGGCCACTCATACAGCTTGACTTTCTGGCCATTCGGAGAACTTGACTTTGGCCATTCAGAGCTTAACTTGCTGGCCACTCAAAACTCGACTCCTTGGCCAATAAGAGAGTTTGACTTGCTGGCCACTCAAAACTCAACTCATTGGCCACTAAGAGAACTTGACCCTTTGGCCATCAAGACTTACTGGCCACTCAAAGAGCTTAACCAACAGGCCAGAGACGAGCATATATGAGTCAACCCGCCCCTCTATGTTCACAAGAGAGCCTGAGATTGGTTAGGTTAGGTTAGGGTATTTTGTATAAATAATTCAGACTAACACACTAATACACACAGAAAATTGGGAACCATTCTAAATCACCTTTGATGTTGTTGAAGGTCATAGGTCATAGGTCAAGGTCAATATTCTTCATGGGTATCCGTACGTGGGTTTGTGTCCTGGTAGTTGTTAAGTCTCGTCATTATCATGTTTATTGGACAGTTAGGCTTCTGATAATTCCCTGTTACCTTAGTCTCCTGTTATCTTCTTCTTCTTCTTTTTCTTCTTCTTCTTCTTCTTCTTCTTCTTCTTCTTCTTCTTTCGTAATGCTTCGTTCTTCCTCTCCTCACTACCTAACCTAGCATTACCCATTACCTTCCCCCCTCTCCTACCCACCCCGTTCCCACCTCAACTACTAAATCCCCCTCCCCTTGACCTTCCCCCTTCCTACCTCAACCTCTAACACCCCCCTCCCCCTTCATCCCCTACCATCCCCCTCACTCCCCAGTGTTGTTTACATGGCTCAACACCCACCTGCAATAGTCGGCGGCGGAGGAGGAAGAGAATCTCGCCCCCTTCATCCGCCCCTTCCACCGCCCTCCTTCCTCCTTCTCCCATCCCCTGCTCCCTGTACCCCTCATCCACCCCCCTGACCCCATCCCCTCTGCCCCCATGAACCCCTCTCCCCATCACCCCCCATCGTGAAACATCGGTCCTGATAACACACTTAATGGGAAAATGCCTGAAATATAAGCGAGCAAGATGGTGCCAGGGTTGATGATGGCCTGCAGGTCCTGTGGGTCTGATACTCCCCCTCCCTCCTGGGGCGGCTGGGGGTGGGGGAGGGAGGATGGAGGGAGAGAGGGAGGGAGGGAGGGAGGGAAAGAGAGAGAGAGAGAGAGAGAGAGAGAGAGAGAGAGAGAGAGAGAGAGAGAGAGAGAGAGAGAGAGAGAGAGGAAAATAACGATGGAAGAGTTAAAAATAATCCCAAAGAAATCCTGAATATATCCTTTCGTTATCCCTGATAGTATCAAAGGGAGGGAGTAAACACACACACACACACATACACACACACACACACGGCTTCCATCCCCCTCCCACACCCAAAAGTAAACAAGAAACAAGAATAATTATCGGTCTCTCTCCTCCCCCCACCGTCTCGTCACAGGATAATCACCATTCCAGCTGGCGATCACCACAGGGGCGACGTACCGTTTGAAGTCTCCTGTTTAGTTAAAAAATACTCAGAGTCTAAATGATCATAGAGGCTCCAACTGAACGAAATCGATACAATTTCTCTAGTTTCCTATAGGTGGGGGGGAGGGGGGAGGAGGGACTCTGTGTTTGTGTGTGTGTGTGTAATAATAAATAATAATAATAATAATAATTAACGGTTTATTGAAAGAGCTTGGCAGCCAGAAGGCTGAAAATATACAGTTACATATTTGGGGAATGGGTTACGAATTACAAATAGTATACAAGTAACATAAGTGACACAAATAAGACATATAATAACTAGATGGGGAAAAGCTCAAACAAACACACACACACACACACACACACACACACACACAGACATACAAATTTACCTCACCCTTATCTGTCTGTCTGTGTATCTGTGTGTCTGTGAGAGTTTGCCCGCCATTAACACATGACAGCGTTGCACTAGTAAGCTTGAATCACCTATATATATATATATATATATATATATATATATATATATATATATATATATATATATATATATATATATATATATATATATATATATATATATATATATATATATTTCTTCTTCTTTTTCTTCTTCTTCTTCTTCTTCTTCTTCTTCTTCTATGCACTTCCTCTGGGTTTTCTTTCGCTGTCGTTCTCCTCCTACATTCTTGTTTCCTCTTCCTCTTTTTTATTCCTATTCCTGTTCTTCTTCCTCCTTACTTCCTTAAATTTCTCCTCTTCCTCCTCCTACTCCATCTCTCTTTTTTATTTCTCTTCCACTCTATTCATTTCTCCTCTTCCTCTTTTCTATTCTTCCTCCTCCTTTCTTCTCATTCCTCCTCCTCCTCCATTTCCTTTTCTCTACTCCTCCTCCTCTTCCTTTTTTTTACATTCCTCCTCCTCCTTATTTTTCCTCCTCCTCTTTTTTATCGTGTTCTCTCTCCTCCTCCTCCTCCTCCTCCTCCTCCTCCTCTCCTACGTCTTAGGTATAGGAGAGAGAGGGAAGAGAGAGGGGGGAGAGTGGGGGGGGGAGGGGGCGGGCATGATCGTTAAGACGGTATAAATAACCAGTTAAATATCCCTGATTTCCGCTCTTCTTATCTCCTCCGCTACGCCCCATTGGTCTAGATGTATCGACGGAGTAAACCCGGCAGGAGACACGAGACAGAATCCAACCCTACCGACGCCACTACCGACGAACCGACCAAACCCACCGTACCGACCGACCGACCAAACCCCAGGACCCCGACAAACCCCACTGTGGGAAACGGTTTTCAAATCGGGGAAAACAGCATTGAAGGTCAAAAAAAAAAATTATAATCGGTTCAGGATGGGAGATAAATTCCAACCCGACTGACTAGACTAGAGGATTTAAACCCCTATGGAAAGAGATCAAGATGGGAAAGAGAATTGAACACCTTATGGGATTGGTTCAAGGAAGGAAAAGGCATTGAGAACCTTATAGAACCGGTAGGAGATACGGGATGGACTAAACTTTATGGGAAATGGTTCAAAGCCAGGGTAGATTAGGTTAGGTTAGATTAGGTTAGGTTAGGTTAGGTTAGATTAGGTTAGGTTAGGTTAGGTTAGATTAGGTTATGAGACAGAACACAAACCTCACTCCCTCAGGAATTTAAAAACACTCAGCGAAATCGGATTGAGACAAGACAGAAGAATAAATAATAAATAAAAATAAATATTAAATCGGCTGGACACAAGAGACAGAACCCAAATCCTTCTCTGAAATCGGATCGAGCAGGAAGACAAAATCCAAAAAAAAAAAAAAACTGCAGACATTAAGGCAAAAATTAATTAAAAAAAAATAACCCCAAGGAGAAATTTTACCTCAATCAGAGAATAATTAACGGCGTATGTAACTAAGTCTTTCAACTACGACACAAAAAACTACGACAAACAAAACTACATCATCTCCGACACACAACGATGGCGGTCTAAATTATAACGAGATATAACCCAGCAGATTGCAAACATAAACAACAGGGCTTATCTTGTTCCTCAGTTATGGCGGATAAATTAACCTGAGACCCTACCCTAACTAAACACATCCCCGTATCTCTGGTATCTCCCGTATCTCTGGTATCTCTCGTATCTCCCGTATCTCTCGTATCTCCCGTATCTCTCGTATCTCCCGTATCTCTCGTATCTCTGGTATCTCTCGTATCTCTGGCATGTCTCGTATCTGAAGTTAAGAGCCTTCGTAAATCGAGAGCCGTGACTTAAAGGTATGTGGATGTGGTAGGCGATGCGCACTTGTTTTATGAGTGCCTATACGTCAGCGGAACGAGCTTGTATTTAAATATACCTCCGGGCTGTACGTTGTAATGGGATTTAAAGGAATATTTCACTGACTTCCTTTCAACGAGAGATTAAGAGAGGAAAAAATATGAAGAGGGAGAACTGACGACTCTTGATGACAGAAATGGTGGTGGTTGATGTGTTGTGGTGTGTGGTGGTGGTGTGTGGTGGTGGTGTGTGGTGGTGTGTTGTGGTGTGTGGTGGTGGTGTGTGGTGGTATGTTGTGGTTGGTGCGTGGTGGTATGTGGTGGTGGTGTGTGGTGGTATGTTGTGGTTGGTGCGTTGGTGTGTTGTATGGTGGTGGTGTGTGGTGGTATGTTGTGGTGCATGTGTGTGGTGGTGGTGGTGATGTGTGGTGGTGTGTTGTGGTGTGTGGTGGTGGTGTGTTGTGGTGTGTGGTGGTGGTGTGTGGTGGTGGTGTGTGGTGGTGTGTTGTGGTGTGTGGTGGTGTGGTGGTGGTGTGTGGTGGTGTGTGGTGGTGTGTGGTCTCGTGGAATTCTATAGTTAAAATGGTCTCAGATGTGTAAATTATAGGCAAACACACACACACACACACACACACACACACACACACATCGTTGTATTTTCCCTGTCGACTTATGCACGACAGGTATAGTGTAAAGACCTTGATGACAGATGACAGACAGACAGACAGACACACAGACAGACAAACACACAGACAGACAGACAGACAGACAAACACACAGACAGACAGACACACAGACAGACAGACAGACAGACAGACAGGCAGACAGACAGAAACACAACTCTGGCTCTACTACAAATAAAAAAAATCCAACACACATCTTTCCGCTAATATTTACCCAACAAATAAATTTCTCTATTTTTTTTTAATTATCAATACTATGTTACAACAGCTCGTATGTTTTAACACTAATCTAGACCCTTGTGCTAATGCATTATGTTTAAACAACTCTGTCAGCTAATGGTGCAGTGAGTGTTCCGGGGGCTGCTTTTATCTAGTTGGTGTTAAGAGGATAGAGCATGAGGAGTTTAGATAGATAAATAGATAGATAGATTGATAGATAGATAGACAGGAGACAGATATAGAGAGAAAAAGAGAGATTAACAGGAGACAGAGAAAGAAATAGATAACACAAGACATACAAACAGACAGACAGATCTAAAAACACCATACAAATAGACCCGAATGGAAGGAATTACCAGCTGACCTCTCTTGACCTGACCTGAACTAAGTTGACCTCCCTCTCACTCGGTCTAACACACTACTGTACTCGGCGTCAGTGGAAAAAAATTGTCTGGGGAAAAAAAGTAAAAGTCTCAACGGAGCAAAAGTTGACGAAAGAATTTGGTGAAAAGTTTGAGGAAAGAATTCTGGGAAGGATGTGTTTTTTTTTTCTTCCCCAAACACATTTTAAGGTGTTTTTTTTTCTGCCGCTGTAATACACACACACACACACACACACACACACACACACACACACACACACACACACATACACACACACATACATACATACACACAGGGACACATTCACACACATACAGAAACAGAGACATTCATTGACACACACACACACACACACACACATATCTCCCCCCACAAAACATATCATTACTAAACGCCAAAGGCTCTAAAAAAAAAGTTTAGAGTCGTTTTGCTGCGGAATACTTTTAGTCTACAAATGGAAAAAGTTAAAAAAGTTTGAGGACAAAATTTGGGGAAGAATATAGTAGCAGGGGAAATATAGTTTGAAAGTCTATATAACTATTTTTTTATGTAATTTTGCTGGGGTGGGAGGAGTATTTTTTGGGGTCTTTAAATAGAAAGGTTTAGACAAAAGTTTGAGAAGAAAATATTAATAGGAAATATAATTTGAAGGTCAGTGTGGTTAATTTGCTTTATGGTGGAATATTATTAAATGGGAAAAAAATATATAAACTCAAAATATAATAGAGGGAAAAAAGTTCAAAGTATACCAGAGGGGAGAAAAAATCATACCGGAGGAAAGTAAACAAAAAGTTTATAAAAAGTTTGAGGAAATACTTAAGAAATGACGTTTTACCTGGACAAGCATCACACAAAAATATGAAAAGTTTTAAAAGTAACAACACAGCTTCCACAATTAACATAAAAGGCCTAAAAAAGTAAACTCACATTATGTAACATTTTAAATAGTTTTCTTATGTGAAATTCTCAACCGTGGAGCTAATTTACTATACTTTCATAGGCCTACAAGCTAAATAGGAGTTAGGCCTACATAGTGCGGGGGGCTAATATTCTGCATCTGTTTGAGTACTTGTGCTTAGTGACGGAGTTAGACCTTAGCTGTGTAATAAAAGTAAAAAGAAGTACTTGTCTACAATCTACATCACCCAATAACACACTTGTATTCTTGAAGGAAAGTTAAACGTATGTCTGTGTGTGTGTGTGTGTGTGTGTGTGTGTGTGTGTGTGTGTGTGTGTGTGTGTGTGTGCGTGTGTGTGTGTGTGTGTCCTAGAATATCATAATTCTGATAAGCTGGGAGTTGGTCGCGTTGGCTATATAATGAGAACGCCCGCAGACATGCACACATATGCTAAATTAAATTCACCCAAAAAATAATGGGAAAAAAGGGGAATATATATATATATATATATATATATATATATATATATATATATATATATATATATATATATATATATATATATATATATATATATATAATATATATATATATATATATATTCAGGAGAATACAGTAATAAGATACCGTTTATCTCTGTGTGATAAACACGACAAACACTGAAGGTAACTTGACAGACATACAAAATACACAAAATACAGCATCTGTTTACATAAATTACAGGTATTGGGTAATATAAACCACCATTACAGAGACGGGGTGGAAACTGGGACACTTGTTTCACCATAATGACCAAGACTGTAAACACACGGGATAATAGAGAGACGCCGCAACACTACACATGCTCAGGTGACGCCATGATGCATGATTCTCCTCACCGACAGACGGCACTGCTGCTCCACACAAACTCAGTAAATGTTGTATGGAAATATTGATGTTGGATGTTCCCCAAGGTGGTGGTGGGAGTCTGGCTACCACCATCACGGTGTTTCTATCTATCTATCTATCTATCTATCTACAGTATAGAGAAAGCGAGAAGATAAAGAGACAGACAGACAGACAGACACACCAGGACACCTACACAGACAGGTAAGGCATCGTCCAAACGGGCCCGTAGGCGGCGGCGCTACACCAAGTGAGAGTATTATTGTGTTGGTGGAACGAGGCATCACAAGCTCCCGGAGGCCATACTGTGACCTCCCACTACTGACAACACACATATGTACACGACATACATATATACACGACATACATATATACGGGTTATGTTCTTGATGTTAACTCGGAATACATCACCTTTAAAGAGAGAGTCAGTTCAGGGTCACATTATATTAAGGTAAAAGTATAGAGTAATTACTGAAGTTCGAAAATAAATACATAAAAAATATATATATATATATATATATATATATATATATATATATATATATATATATATATATATATATTATCATTGAGGATTATATAATTTCTGATATATAATTACAGTTAAAATATTATCCAGATCTTAAATGTTTCCTTACAGTAGATACAAAATACGAGAGCCTTACTGTATTGAAATGACTGTATTCAAAATCATAATACAGTACAGTTGACTAGTTGTTATATTTACTAATGGACAATATATACTGTACTACAACACACTGTAATCATTTTACATAGTTGATACAGAATCTAAAATACAGTTCACATTGTTGATAAGTTAGGTTGAGATACAGGTCATATTGTTGTTGTTGTTAAGTTAAAGGCGGTTACTGTTTAATATTTCAAGTACTATTCACTTTTATTAACTCCGGTGGTGAATGATTTTGTTTAGCGATACTGGAAAATGTGTACTCTCTCTCTCTCTCTCTCTCTCTCTCTCTCTCTCTCTCTCTCACACACACACACACACACACACACGACGCCTAATCCAGTACCCTCCATCTATTTAATTCAATAGAGGGCTACACCTATCAATCTACCCCATAATATCCTCTGTAATAAGCTTATTTTCCTGTGCATTTGTTTAGAGAAAATAAGCTAATGAGGGTTGTGCTGCCGGGTACGTTACTTCCCTGATAGACGCGTACGAGGTCTATAAAGACAGCCAGCAAGGGGTGGTGTGTGTAATAATGGTGGGGAGCGTACGGTAGTCCCCAGTGTTTCTAATCTGGTGGACACGCAGCTATAGCTCATAGGGGTGGGGGTCCAGGCCTCTCCTCACCCACGCAATGAAGGAGGGGGGAATGGGGGAGGTTGGGGATGGATAGAGGTGGTAGGGGATGGGGCTAATGAGGGTTGTGCTGCCGGGTACGTTACTTCCCTGATAGACGCGTACGAGGTCTATAAAGACAGCCAGCAAGGGGTGGTGTGTGTAATAATGGTGGGGAGCGTACGGTAGTCCCCAGTGTTTCTAATCTGGTGGACACGCAGCTATAGCTCATAGGGGTGGGGGTCCAGGCCTCTCCTCACCCACGCAATGAAGGAGGGGGGAATGGGGGAGGTTGGGGATGGATAGAGGTGGTAGGGGATGGAGAGAGGAGAAGGAGGTAATGCTGGAGATGACAGAGGATGCTGGGGATGATAGGGATATAGGGGATGGAGAAGGGCTGCGGGGGTGGGGACAGAGGATGGGGAGGTGTGATGTTCAAAGGAAAGTGGATGAAATTACTCACCTCATCTCCTCATTCCTCATCCCCCACCCCCACCTCATTCTCCCCTTCCCACACGCACATACAAGTGAAGGGGGGGAAATGAGCAGCGGGAAAGATTTTAAGCAAGAATCTCACA